AAAAAAGTTCAAATAGCTCAATATAGATTGCTTGGCCAGTCCTACTGCAGATTAAACAATATACAGTATTATGAATACACAGCTTTCAGCATTCAACTCTTTTATTGTTTTTTTTTTGTTTGTTTTTTTTATGAAATGTAAAAATTAACCAGGTGTAAATGTAATGTATCTACAGAAAATTGTTAAACTGTCTCTTTAAAGGCAAAAACAGATAATGATTTGAGAGTCAACTGAACTTTTCAACATAAAAGTGAAAGTGGGAGGCTCGTGATAATGCAGCACATATTTGACCTCGAGAGTGAGCAGGTTTTATGGAAGCTTCTGTGTTATACGAGGTGCTGGAAAAAAAGTCAGGGCCAAGAAGAAACCTATAAACACACTTCATTGCAATGCACAGTTTGTAAATAACATTTTTTGAATAAAGACCTCATTTACAATGTTTTTTTTATGGCATAATGTAGGAGGTGCAGAGGTTTGGACAGTTATATCCTTGTGTCCTGCTCACAAAGAGAAAAAATGCACAGTATGTATGTAGTCTGAGAGAATATAAGGTCATGAGACATCTGGAACAGAATAAACGTTTATTTTATACACCACACCCACAGGTCAACATCAATTTTGATAGAGACTACATTTCTAATTTTGATATTAACTCATTTAAATTTAGATGTTTTTTAATTGATCATCAAAAAGTTCCACTTGACTGTATTTAGCAACATGTGCAAAATATACCTTTAAATTCAAATATAGAGATATGTGTGAGACTAACTGTTTGGTCATGTGATCACGCTAAACATGAACTCTTTGGGCCCTCGCTGTAATGGGTCCTCCCAACTCTGTAAACATCACTCATGTCTCATCGGGAATGTGTCGGTAAAGTGTCAAGTCAGACATTAAAACCAAATGGCATAAAAAAGCAATTTTGCGTTCAGTCCAAGCTGAAATGTCCCTTTTTGAGTCTATTGGGGCCCAAGCGAAGGGTCAAAGTCTTTCTTTAGAGCACACGAGGCATCTCAGAGCAGACTCACTTTAAAGCAAGGGCTATAAACATGACTTTTGATTATATATGTAAAACGATTTAGTGAATATTAAAGAAATATGTACTTATAGAAGTGTTAGTAAGAAAATTTGATGTAGTGAAAACAGTTACCGATATGTTGAAGCATTGGTGAGGTTTTTTGAAAATGAATTAAAGTTGTCCCTCTGCATTCATCTTAACTGAATGGGCTTTTATTTCTGTTTTTAAACTCATCTCTCCTTGAAAGGGCCTTTCACACCAAAACAATAAAATCACACACTGTAACTAATCAGCTAACCTCAGAATTCTCCAGAGGAGTCAAGTGCATGAAGACGATGAGGCATTGTCATCTGCAGGAGCTTGACTCTTGATCTGTGTCTAATTGTTCCCAAATGTCTTTTTATTTATTCATTCTTTTATGCATTATCCAACTCAAATAATTATTGGCACTGTCTCTGATGTTGCCTACAAACTCATTTCAGCCAACAGACAGGAATATCTCCTGGAAGGGTTACCAGTCCATCCATCTGTCTGTCCGTCCATCGATCATTCCATGCATATTCCATCTGTTCGTCAATCCATCCAACCATCTATCCACCCCTTAATTCATCAATCCATCTATACATACATCTATCTCTCCATCCAATTAATAATCCAACAATCTGTCCATCATCCCATGCATACTCCATCTGTCCGTAAATCCATTCATCCATCTATCTGTCCATCCCTTAATTCATCCATCTATCTTTCTATCCATCCGTCTATCCATCCAACCATCCACCCATTCATCCCAAATTCCTTCCGTCCATCGATCCTTCCATCATTCCCTCTATACTGTACATGTCCGTCAATCCATCTATACATACATCTATCTCTCCATCCAATTAATAATCCAACAATCTGTCCATCATCCCATGCATACTCCATCTGTCCGTAAATCCATTCATCCATCTATCTGTCCATCCCTTAATTCATCCATCTATCTTTCTATCCATCCGTCTATCCATCCAACCATCCACCCATTCATCCCAAATTCCTTCCGTCCATCGATCCTTCCATCATTCCCTCTATACTGTACATGTCCGTCAATCCATCTATACATACATCTATCTCTCCATCCAATTAATAATCCAACAATCTGTCCATCATCCCATGCATACTCCATCTGTCCGTAAATCCATTCATCCATCTATCTGTCCATCCCTTAATTCATCCATCTATCTTTCTATCCATCCGTCTATCCATCCAACCATCCACCCATTCATCCCAAATTCCTTCCGTCCATCGATCCTTCCATCATTCCCTCTATACTGTACATGTCCGTCAATCCATCTATACATACATCTATCTCTCCATCCAATAATTAATCCAGCCATCCAACCATCATCCCATGCATACTCCATCTGTCCATCAATCCATTCATCCATCCTTTAATTCACCCAACCAACCATCCATCCATTCACCCATCCATCCATCATCCCATCCATTCATCCCAAATTCCTTCCTTCCATCTATCCATCATTCCCTCTATACTCCACCTGTCCTTCAAGCCATCTATACTTACATCTATCTCTCCATCCATTAATTAATCCATTCATATTCTATCCATACGTGCATCTGTCCATCCATGCATCATTCCATCCATACATCCATCATGGCATCTATCCATCCATCCAGATTTTATTATCAGATTACGACTTCTGATTGTTTCAGAAATCCAGAATTTCTACATAAAGTACTTAGATGAAGTGAAGGATGGTATGATGCAAAGAAAAACGGTTTAGGTCACTCACATCAAATGACACATTTTCCCTCTAATGAATATAACAATTTAAATAAAATATTAAACCGTAATTGTATAAAACCTTTTTATTTGAGTCCCATTAGACAAGAAGCAAACAAATGGTCTGATTGGGCCACAAACCAGTCACAGAAACACAGACCTATAAAAACAATTCATGGATCACAGCCCATGCTACTGTGCCTTTTCTCCTGACACCAATCGATAAAAACATTCAAACTTTGTGTTCCATTCAGCGTTTGTGTGGGAAAACAATATTTTTCTTGTGAAACTGATACAGAGGCCCAAGTGAAGGGGCATCTATAACAAATTCACAGCCCTTTTATTTTTATGCACGGGTGCTTCTTTGCCCTGCCTGAACGAAGCCCGGGGTGAAGGGTCAGATTAAACTCAGGCTATTCACTGAGCCCAATGTGTCTAGAGGGGCAAGGGGCCGAAGCATTGTATGGGGGTTAAAGACAGCCTTTCATAAATGGTGCAATTTAGAGTGGGCTTGGCAGATTTATTTAGTGCGGAGGAAAATAAGATAATCAGTAATAATATTTTAGTTAAAACGTTGCTTTTAAAGTGATGATTCACCCAATGATAGCTACTTAGCAGTATGAACAATTCTACTGAAAGATTGCAGAAGTTTTTTCATATGATTCCATTGAACCAACCATTTTAAGGAAGCATATTGTTTGGCATGGAACTTAAAACTAGAACGCTAAAGCAAGGGGTCCGTTTCAGATTTCAAACAAAATTGTAATAAAATCCCTGGAGTGATAAAAATCTAGTTCACATATAACATTTTAGAACTATGGAATGGAATTTTACTTAAGTGTAAAAGTTAAAGTTACACGCATGTCATGTTTGGTGAATAGTTCTCTTTTTTATTAAAATATTTGTAAAATTTTCCATTGTTTTGTATTAATACAGTTTGAATCATGATATTTACCAGTGTAAGTATATAGTTCATTTAATTTGCCAAGAAAACTGCTTATATATTTTAATTAGAGAGAACTGACTCTTAGTTTCAGGGTTGTTGCATATAAAAATTGTACTATTTATTTATTAAACATTTTCATGTCCTATACTCTCGGTTTGAGTTCAACTGTGACCATTGATTTTTTTTATTTTTTTTTTATGCTTATGCGTTGTGGCATATGATGAGATTGCCACTTTCTTTCTTTTTCTTGTTATGATTGAGTTTAACCCTTGATCTGTGTTTTTCTTCCGTAGGCCAAATGTTTGTGGCAGCCGATGCTGCCATTCATGGATTGTCAACCCCAAAACCAAACAGTGCACAAAACGTGAGTTTCTTTCTTCTGTTGGCCATTTAGATGGATTTATTCTTTCCTTTTATCGTCCTAGAAAGACTGATGCACATAAATCTTCCAAAATCCTCTTTGTTTGTCTGAAAATGAAGGCAATAGTCAGCATAGCTAACACTGAAAACAAGAAACAAATAATAAGAAACAACAAAACTTATTTGTTTGTTTTTTCAAATTCTAACACAGATATAAACTCCTTTAAAAATATAATAGTTACTTTCTATAAAAACAAATATTTTTATCTACATTTGCACATGACTATGGGTGTGTCAGATTGATTGGTGACTCAATTGAGAATTTTTTCGCATAGCACCACACCACAACATTAGAGTTGGCAGAGAAATTGAGAATTCAAAGGTAAAAATATACAATTATAAAACATACTGCTCCAAAAGCTATAACTACAACCCAACTACCATCATTAACTCACACATTTTAACAGCTCAAAAGGTTCCAATTCCTCAAGAAGCCATCATAAGACCTATCGAAGGGAATTTAAAGGTTGCCAGTTTGTATTTTTTTTTATCTTTTTTTTTTTTTTGAACATGTAATATAGTTCATTAGGTTCGTAACAGATTTGTGAGCCACAATACATGATGCCACATATTTTTGGGTGAACACCGCTAAGCTCTGTTTATCTAGCTGTCTGTTACATATGTTTCTTCATAATTAGGCTAAACAGTTAATCCAAACCTCCAGCTCCCTCATCATAGTCTTAGCTGGATTTACTGTGACAGGCAATAACACCTCCCCACCCATTGACTCTTAAAATGACAGAAATTTAATTTTTATCAAATTGTTTGTTTTTTATGGTTTTACAAATATTCAGAAAAAATCATAATATTAAATTATGGCTTTTTGAATTATGCCTTTCCTGTGGCTCAGACAGTAGAGCATTGCACTATCAATGCAAGGGTCTTGGGATCTAACCCCAGGGAAAGCAAGTATTAATGGAATGTGTTAAGTGCTTGAAATGTAAGTCGCTTTGGATAAAAGGATCTGCCAAATGCAAAAAATTAAAAAACTTATAAAGAAAAATTCATAATGCTTCTACCTAAAGTTGAATCCATAGCTCATGTTTTAAGTTATTGTGGCCCACAATTAAAAACTGTTGCTCATTTTCAGTTTACAATCTTTCTTTGCATATTTTGGTGCTTTGAGTAATGTTTTAGTGTTTGTCTCAAAACAAAACAAAACCAAAAAACCTCTGCTGGTGGACTTGAGGTTCTGCTGGTGCCATCTCCAATCAGTTGCAGAGTCTACAGTTAACTTCAGGTCAAACAAAACAAAAATAAAAACAATAATTTCTTTCATTTTGTTCATTCCCTTCCGGGGTTCTGCTGGTGCATCTCCAGTGTACTTCCAGAATCTCTTGTGGACTTCGGGCGAAAGTCAGGGGTCAAAACAAAACAACCACATCAATTCATTTTCTTTACTCACCCATTCCCTTCCAGGGTCACAGGGTTCTGCTGGTTCTTCCATAAACGTCAGCACACTTCAGGGTCTAGACAAAACTAAAATAAAAGCAAATGTTTGGTCTGTAAATGTTAAAAGCTGTTTAGGAAATTGGAAAAAAATGCTACATTTTTAACACCAGTGCACTACAGGGAAAAGCCAGGGATGGTAACAAAACAAAACCAACAGAACATAACAAAACAAAAAAACATTGGGTCTGTAACTGTTGAATGTAATTTATAAAATGGGAAAAAGCGCTAAATGCTTCTTTCTCTCTTATTAGCAAGATGCCACCCACGATGCCACAACAGGGCAGTATGCCATCGGCCAAATGTGTGTGTATGTCGTCCAGGCTTTCATGGCCATCGTTGCGAACACTCAGATGTCTCAACAACTCCAAGCGTCTGGACTGAAACTCATCCCAAGACCACTGGAGCCCCACAACAGGCCTTCACATCAGCCTCAAGGGAAACGGCAGAAATGAAGGAGAGAAAGACTTATGCACTTCACTGGCAGCCACCGCGGTAATCTCTCTAACTTAAAATGATTTTCTCTACAAAATAACTTTTTAAAGAATGTTAAAAAGGTATACTGCCCTTGCAGTGACATAATCTGCAGGAATATTCCAACATTAATGTTAGTCCATATGTAATTATATGGACTCACCAACAGGGGGTGGTCTTTCACTGCAAAAGCCATTTTAATTTCCCACTTTACTATCCCAGCACAGACCTCATTACAGATCCCAAGACAGTGTATTGAAATATTTAATATTCACACATAACAGTAATTCCAACTATTGATTAAAACACATTTTTATGAGTTCATCAAATAAGGATTATTTCATTATTATTTTAGATTTTATTCTTCTTTTCAATCATATGCATTCTCAGAATACTATGTCTAATGTCTTTATTTTTAGTTGGCATATTTTATTCCACTTAGAGTGCATTAAACATTGTATTCTGGGTTCTCAAATATCTCTAAACCTTTATATCATGTTAAATAAAAAAAAAAAAAACGTTTACCTTCTGCTTTAGCAAGAGTTGTAAAATATGTGTGGAGTAGAAGATTGTTGCTCTCCTTAAAACGTGTCTTTATTGTAATTGGCTGCTTTATTTGCAGATTTTGTTTTCTATTGTGGTGGGAAGAGAGAAAGCAAAAGAGAAACTTGTAAAGTGACTGTTTTTATTGGAGACTCGTGGCTCATCAGATTAATGAATGCTGTAAATCCCCCGGAGCTCTTTGATATTGAAAATGGAGCTGCAATGAAATATAGAAACCCAGATTGTAAGTGTGTTTTGGATAGAAGATGAAAGCATAGTTCATCCAAAAATGAAACATTGCCCAAGGAACAAGAACATCTGACCCCCTGAATATACAGTTTTTTTTTTCTTCTCTGGTGGCACGTCCTAAAATACCCATGTTAGCAATCATCAGGCTCAAATTTAAAACTGGAAAAGTATTCTTGCAAAAATATGATGCAGCTCTGAATGGGAATAAATTTTATTTTGTATTTTTATGTTTTCATTGCTATTATTGTAGTTTGTTGTTTCTGTTAAACATATGTCTATCTATGTTAATGCTGTTGCTTGCCTTCAATTATTTTTTTTGACCCAACAGTCCTAAATCATTCCATGGAATCTTCAACTATGGAAGCAACTTTAACCATTATATCTGAGGATCCAGGCTCTATGTGTTAGCAAACTCACATCCATAAATATCTTAAAACCGCAGTTTGCATTCTTCATCTCAGACAATTATGCTGAACTTCACAATAATTTATACTGTATTTCATGAGTTTGAAACAGTACCTTGTTTAAGAGTGTGAGCATAAGTTGCAGGTATGAACGTGTGAGGCATGTGGCCCTTCTCATGTCCGGTGGTGATGGGGAGGAAGGTGGGAAGTGAAGCTAGGTCAACTAGGTCAAATAGAGATGGGTTGGATCAGCTTATAATACCATGGAATAATTGAATGATTGGTAGGCGTCAATATCCTGATTAGTCTCAAAACAAACGTCCTCATAAACATAAAAAGTCCTTATAAACAGGTCATAGAAAAGTCAAGTATGAATCAAGGATCATTTTACTCAATCATAAAATAAATCATGAATTAAACGAAATAAATGATTACTACTGAAAAGCACTTTCAGTTAATTCCTAGAAACATATGGTTGTGTTTTTAGGTTAAAGGACATTCTTGATTGCTGAAAGTTCTCAGACCACGTGTTGTTGACCAAGTGTTATATCTTTGGGAAGGAAAGAACTCCCCTGTGGAAACATTCACAATAGAGCACTGAAAGAGTCTATTAGCACATCCGTTTCAGTACACCAACTTATGGGCCAAAGTTGACCTGAGAGACTAATTCTCATTTTTCTGTCAAGATGTAATTTCCGCATCTTTCAGTGGTTTTTATGTCAGCTTTAATGCATGAACTAGATTTGTCAGATAAGAATTGTGTGTGGAAATACAAAACCTGGCGACTTGTTGAAGTCATTGTATTGTCAGCAATAAAGTTCAAATTTTTTTTCCATGGATTTTAAAGTTAAGATTAAAATCCACTACAACAAATTCCAAGTAATTTTTTTGTAACTTCCGAGTAACTTAACGTTTGGACAGTTTGATGTATAAGTATGCAGGGAGGAACTTAAATTTATGTGACCAGCAAGCCGGTTCTGGGGTGACTACATAGGACAACATCATATAGTTATATTAGTACAATAGCATTAAATAAATGGTCTTTATTGAAGTACCAGTGGTAGCATTGAGAGTATAACAGTAGGTTTGGTCTTGGAGGGTAATAGAGGAAAGTAATCCAGAGTGCAGTGGTATCTAGTAAGCCTTGTAATCCACAGGGTTTTTAGCAAGCATGGCTAGCATGCTAGCATCAGCTGCAAATAACAAACACAAGCCGCAGAAAGAGTTCAAACACCTTGCTGGAAACTTCACAGAGAGCAGACTGAGTTTATAGATAGATCATATCACAGTTAAGTAGATTGAAGCAGGGTAACTCACGCAGAGATTAGAGAAGAGAACTGGTGGAAAAAGTCCAGGAAGTTACTCAGACCAACAAGGTATGTTGGGAAATGGGGTGCTTTAAATACAAGAGAGCTACAGACTAGATTGGCTGAGGAGGTAAGTGCAGACAAGTGAGTGACATTAACAGAGAACAACCAACTCTACCAAAAGTAGTGTTTCTAAGAAAATAATTGAAAAAAAAAAAAATTAAAAAAAATATATATATATACATTTTGTGTCTAGCAAAATAACTAAAGTAAAAAAGGTAGCAACATTTTATGGAATGGATCATGTGCATTATTAGAATTTGTATATAATGTTAATTCGTCTGTATTAAGGTGAAACAAATTTAAATAATGTACACTTAAATAATTGTATTTATTGATTGTTTATTTCTGCTGTAGGTTACAAGAGGCTCAGTCTGTGTTGCTAAAGAGAGCACTGTCCAGTGGATCGACAGGAGAAAAGATCACCAGTTTAATACTGAAACACATTGAAACAGAGCGAAGTCGACTCAAACATTCATCACCTTCTGAAACCACCAAACTCTCCAGCACCAAAATTTTTCACACCCAGCATGGCCAGTACACACTCAGCTACACCGCAGGTCAGTTTAAAACTACTAACATGTTGCTAACCCTGAGAAGTCTCTGCACGCATCAACGTTTACCAGTCAAAGCGACTGTTTTGTAGAGAGTAATGATGCAACCCAGCTATTGTTTATTTTTGAATTCAGATATATGGTGTAGGTTTCAAAAAGGTTATGTTTTGATATTATTTTTTAATTTGTAAGGTAACTCAAATTAAAATGTGAGAAAATGGGTAAAAATGAGATCGTCTTTCAGTTTAATTTTACAGGCCACAGTCCGTGACTTCAGTGCCATCTAGTGGTGAGAAGAAGGGATAACCCTTGAAAGTACAAGACCTGTGATATGGCTTGTATTTTATCAAAAAGTGGAAAAGTGTTTAATTATAACAACTGTTCATTGTCCATTTTTTGCAGTAAAAATGACTGTAATACGGAATTGTACTTTTTTAGTCCTGTATCTTGTAATAATTGTCATGGTTTCCTGCATCTGAGCTGTCAGTGTGTGTGATAAGGTTTATCTGCTGCAGGGCTACACTTAGTCGACCATTGTGTGGATTCCTGATGCTGTTTAACTTGGCTCAGAGATGACGAATTACATAAACACATGGGCACACACCAGCAAACACATGCTTGCACACATTCCCACTTAGACAGTATGCTCAGAGAAAGAATTAAACACATAACCACACATACACAAAGTATAATGTGTTTTATCTGGACTAATGTGCTTTTAAGCTCTTGAAAAAGAAGATACAGCTCACAAGTTATTCTCAAGGAGTTCATTTTAGGATCCATTCCAGCATATTTTGTTAGGGTAAATTGTGGATTTTGAATAAAATCAACCACAGTTTGAAAAGGATTAGAGCATTTAAAAGCCAGA